TAAAAGAAGAATTCTTCCATAGGTGTATCATCACTTTCAGATGGCTCCTTTAATCTATAATCTATAATTACCGCAAATGGTCAAGAATTATCTGCTCATTCTCCGGAATCCATTTAAATAGAGCTCCAGAAAAACAGTATTGCACAGGTTACATCTCCTCTTTTTTCCCTAAAATAATTGATGCACACGGAAACAAACATGGTGCTGCATTGACTGCCTCAGCATTTCTTGAACATGACTCTATATTTCCTGTCACATTCCAATCCTGGATCTAGCTGTGGAAATATTATGTGGACAACAAAACATTTCCAATGTTTTGCAGCTCAGAGAATGAGTTGTTGTAGGTTTTTCGGGCTATATGGCCATGTTCTAGAAGCATTCTCTCCTGACGTTTCACCTGCATCTATGGCAAGCATCCTCAGAGGTTGTGAGGTCCAACCAGCAAGAAGGAGGAGAGCAATCTCCCCTCTTTCTTTCTGATCACAGGAGTGCACCATTGTAACATAAACAGTGACACATATAATGACCAGATGCTTAGATGGAGCTCTGTGACAATTTAGGAGAGGTAATAGCAACAACATGGGCATTCTTCATCTGATGCGGGGAATTCCGTGGATGTAGCGTACCTGGATTTCAGTAAGGCCTTTAACAAGGTCCCCCATGACCTTCTGGCAGACAAACTGGTCCAATGTGGGCTAGGCAAAACTACGGTGAGGTGGATCTGTAATTGGTTAAATGGACAAACCCAGAGGGTGATTCTCCCCAATGCTTCCTCTTCATCCTGGAAAGAAGTGACGAGCGGAGTGCCATCCGCAGGGATCCGTCCTGGGCCCGGTCCTGTTCAACATCTTTATTAATGACTTAGATGAAGGGTTAGAAGGCAGGACCATCAAGTTTGCAGACGACACCAAATTGGGAGGGATAGCCAATACTCCAGAGGACAGGAGCAGAACTCAAAACAATCGTGACAGATTAGAGAGATGGGCCAAAACGAACAAAATGAAGTTCAACAGTGACAAATGCAAGATACTCCACTTTGGCAGGAAAAACGAAATGCAAAGATACAGAATGGGGGACAATGCCTGGCTCGAGAGCAGTACGTGTGAAAAAGATCTTGGAGTCCTCGTGGACAACAAGTTAAACATGAGCCAACAATGTGATGTGGCGGCAAAATAAGCCAATGGGATTTTGGCCTGCATCAATAGGAGCATAGTGTCTAGATCTAGGGAAGTCATGCTACCCCTCTATTCTGCTTTGGTTAGACCACACCTGGAATATTGTGTCCAATTCTGGGCACCACAATTCAAGAGAGATATTGACAAGCTGGAATGTGTCCAGAGGAGGGCGACTAAAATGTTCAAGGGTCTGGAGAACAAGCCCTATGAGGAGCGGTTTAAGGAGCTGGACATGTTTAGCCTGAAGAAGAGAAGGCTGAGAGGAGATATGATAGCCATGTATAAATATGTGAGAGGAAGCCACAGGGAGGAGGGAGCAAGCTTGTTTTCTACTTCCTTGGAGACTAGGATGCGGAACAATGGCTTCAAACTACAAGAGAGGAGATTCCATCTGAACATGAGGAAGAACTTCCTGACTGTGAGAGCCGTTCAGCAGTGGAACTCTCTGCCCCGGAGTGTGGTGGAGGCTCCTTCTTTGGAAGCTTTTAAACAGAGGCTGGATGGCCATCTGTCAGGGGTGATTTGAATCCAATATTCCTGCTTCTTGGCAGGGGGTTGGACTGGATGGCCCATGGGGTCTCTTCCAACTCTTTGATTCTATGATATGATCCTAGGATAGGAAAATGGAGAACACTATCAGGGCATGGATAAATCTTTAAGGGAAACCCTTGTAAAGGGGTGTGCAGAAAACAATCAGATGAAGATTCACTGTAGTCACAAAAAAACCACAAGAAAAGGTGCATTCAGGAAAAGGACAAGGCAACATTTTGTAGCATACAATCTGTAGTATAACACATATTGGATCTCTTATCAGCTTCCTCACCAATTTCCTAATTCCAGGATTTTTTAAAAGGAACGAAGAATAACTATTTAGACTGGGGTGGGGACTGAGACCAAATTGGGAATGGGGATTTGAAAAAACAAGCATATTTTAGCATGCAGTTGCAAAGATTTAAGAAAGGTGCCCCAATCATTTAGAATGAGGGAAGGAATCCAAACAAATGCCAGGAAACCACCAAATAGTAGTGTCATAAGGAGGGGGGATATGGCTAAGTGGAGAACTGGACTGGACTGTTCTGTCTTGGCTTTGTATTAAACGGGTATAAACCTCAAAAATGTTGGCAATGTCGGTAATGTTTTTGTGAGCACAATGATATGGGCTTGGAAAGAAGTATGGCCTGAGGATCCATTTTGTAAACTTTCCAGAAGCAGGAGTGCAAGGGAACAGCCTTAAGAAACCAGAGATTACACAATTCCACCTATCTGCCTCATGAGGAATAAAGCGTTGGTGGGTAGTGAACTTACACAAGACTGTGGTTTATTGCCTCTGCCTGTGGGTGAGACCATGACCGCATCTGATGATTATCAGATGAGAAGAGATGCCTCAGTCTCTCCTTGACAGACAGAGGGTTCCCCGTACATTGGACTTTCTGAAACACCTGCAGCAAAAGCCCTCCTCTCCATTCTGTAGATAAAGGGGTCGATGGGGGGCGGGGAGAGAAACCATGGCCATACCAAAGTTAAATTAAATGCATTTACAATTTTCTACTAACCTTCCCATGTCTAACATCTAGTGCCAGGAGCACTTTCTGAGCACAGATCCAGAGCTTGGAAATGTTACCACAAGGTTCCATTCTATCCCCCATGCTTTTCAATATCTACATGAAACCACTGGGTAACCTCACAACCTCTGAGGATGCTTGCCATAGATGCAGGCAAAACGTCAGGAGAGAATGCTTCTAGAACATGGCCATATAGCCCGAAAAACCTACAACAACCCATTCCTGAAAGGTTTTTTTCCTTTTATGCCAGACAATGGGCACATCCTTTATCCATGGTACCATTATACATCACAGCAGGGGCCTGCATAGTGTGATAGTCCTCTATGCTGGATTTTCACACATTTGCTCTTCTTGATTCTTTGAGCGTATTTATGCTATACAGTCATATCAGTTTGTTATCAGTTTGGCACAGCTCTTGCTCCAACCACAGAATCCAGAGGTTTGTAATTTGGAGAAGTACAATATGATCCCTGTACAGGAGTTGATTATAAATTGTATGATTTTAACTGTATTTGTGTTTAGATTGGCTGCAGTAATGCTGGAGCGGCCTAAGTCAGAGGAGTCCTCCATGTGCGTTGCCATGGAGACTGATGCAGGAGAGAGGGAAGTGGGAGGAGCTTAGAGGGGAGAGTTTGAAAAAACGACAGTTAAAAATCAGTTAGGGTTTAGGTTTAGAGGAGTGAGCAGTCCGGGTTTAGGTTCAGAGGAGTCAGGAGTTAGGTTCAGAGAAGTGAGGAGTTAGGAGTTGGGAGAGAAGGAAAGGAAAGGTGGCAGAGTGACTTGTGAAGCAAAGCTTTGAGGCTTTGAAAAGCTGGGTTTGGCTATTGGAAGTTTCTCAGGCTAGTGCAGCCGAATGGTAGCTGGTATTCTTTTAGTCCAAGGAGAGACTAAAGGATAGTTTACTTAGTATTTGATCTAGGGAGGATCAAATAAGGGAAACATCCCTGTATTGAAACTTTGTCTGAAACAAGTGCTCTACGTCAGAAAGATACTGTGTTACTTGAAAGAATGAACTGTTAAAGTTACAAGTATTATTCCAAGTGCAACAAGGAAAAGTTACGTCTTGCAACAACACGCTGTGTACTTAATAAAATTGTTAACTTTTATATGAAGATTGCCTCAGCTCCATCTATTCTGTGTCTATAGTGCCATTTCTCACAATAATACAACTTACCTCATGTGGTGGCAGAAACGCAGGGAAAAGTAACCAAATAAATCTACATTCTTCTCTCCAGTCACGCTACAGTATATACAGTGTAATTACTACTAAGTTATTACTTTCTTAATAAAGGAGGAGGTGCAATTGAACAGCCTCCCTTCCAACTTGATGGTAAATTTGGTTCCTAATCGGCAACCTCCATTGCAAATCGGCCAGTTCTTTTTAAAATTGGGAACTGGGGTAAAATCTCCTGAATACTGGTTCCTTTCAAATTGGTGGCAACAATAAATCATCCATCCGCTCCCTTGCTTCTTTTCAATCCTGTACCCGTAGTTTCATCTACTCAATTTGACAAAATCTATCACTTCGATGCATTTTCTAGATCATCCATGTGATTTTATGCCATGCTTCTGCTGGAAGTTGACTATAAAGTAACAGTGGAGGGTCTAGCAAGGTCTATAAATGTATCTTCACTAACTACTTCCTCGGTATTCCAACTCTATAGTATGCTTCTGGCAAATATCATTCATTCAATAAGGTTCACTGTTACCCGAAGTTTCATGTATATCCACACAAAATCCTCAAATGTATACCTCTGCAGATATGGAGGTCATACTGTATGTGGAATTTTGTGCTAGGGAGCTGATGTGGCTCAAGAGACCATAGTGGAGTTCTGCTGAAATTCAATGGTGTCTAGGTATCTCAGCAAGCCACAAATATCCAAGTATTTCCCCCAACTACAAATCCCAGAGTTCTTTAGGATAGAGCCACAACAGTTTAAACATACTTAAATGATTCTAACTGTGCAGAGTAGATATACCCTTCCCATCTTACATTCCCTCGTATGACATGGAATTTGTATTTTTAGAATTATCAGCACAGGAGAATAGTCTGGATATTTTTTTAAAACATTGGGGAGACTTACTTTCTTTGTGGAGTTACTTTCTTTTTGGAAAATCACCTAGTCAGAAGTCGGCAAAGCCAAAGAATTATTGGCATTGTAGTCCAAAAAAAGTAATTTTTCAAAGCAGGATCACTATTACATCACTTTTCCGAGTTGGTGTGCCATATGCCTGTCTCACCTTCCTTCTCTTCTCCCTACAGATGAGAACCAGAGCAAAAATGATGGAGAAACTGAAGATCACCCCACTTCCTGTTGTCCCTGAGCCCCAAGAGCCTCCTCCACCTTCGTCTCCAGAACCTCTTCACTCCCCAGGAAGCGGGGAAGAGGAGTTAGAGGTCACCCCACCCCTCACTTCTAGCCCCACCTCATCCTCCCCTCAAGCCAAAGGGAGTCCTCCCCCTGAAATGTCCCCAACGTCTTTGCCCCACAACGTTCCAGTCATCAGTCTAGGCTACAGCAAGCCTCCCAACCATGCTGAGGTGCCCACCACCCAGCTCACTGCACTGCACCCCATCCCCAGCTTCCTGCAGCTCTCGGCCATGCCGCCAGGGGCCCCTCCGCCACCCCTGCCTCTCGCTGGAGTAAGAAGCCCCCTCTTGACCCCACAGTATCAACCCCATCCCTTCCTCAACAGGTAAGTCCTAAGGGAAACTCAACTCATTTGGGCAGTGGGTGGGAATGGGAAGAAACCCCAAGGGATCTGATTTGTGACCTGCTAGCCCCAAATGCTTGAAGGAAGCATTCTTAATGACTGGTCCTTCAGAAGTTCATGGACATCAACTCCCCAAACTCTTGAGAGACTGGGAGTTGGAGTCCAGCCACTGCTAGAAGGTCAAAGACTGAGAAACATCAAGCAAAATTTTGTTTTTTGAGTGAATTACATATGCCTGTAACTCACTCTGAAAACTTTTTCAAACAATATGGATTCCTGTTATGGATCCATAACAGTTACGGTTCCCTGTGGCTTGTATCAAGCTTCTATGTTGTTTATATGGTGCAAAGCTTACCTAGAATCATAGAATCATAGAATCATAGAGTTGGAAGAGACCTCATGGGCCATCCAGTCCAACCCCCTGCTAAGAAGCAGGAAAATTGTATTCAAAACACACACACACACACCCCGACAGATGGCCATCCAGCCTCTGTTTAAAAGCTTCCAAAGAAGGAGCCTCCACCACACTCCGGGGCAGAGAGTTCCACTGCTGAATGGCTCTCATAGTCAGGAAGTTCTTCCTCATGTTCAGATGGAATCTCCTTTCTTGTAGTTTGAAGCCATTGTTCTGTGTCCTAGTCTCCAGGGAAGCAGAAAACAAGCTTGCTCCCTCCTCTCTATGACTTCCTCTCACATATTTATACATGGCTATCATATCTCCTCTCAGCCTTCTCTTCTTCAGGATAAACATGCCCAGCTCCTTAAGCTGCTCCTCATAGGGCTTGTTCTCCAGTCCCTTGATCATTATAGTCGCCCTCCTCTGGACACATTTTTGCCAGTCTGTGACGAATTGGGAGGCAGCTGGGAAATCCCAGTGCCCTGCCTTCCTGGTAGCTGATGCTTCCCCATCTCACATGGGGAAGTGATGCCACATGGCTTCCCCCCACGATAGTCTTGCTGTCCCTAATGGAACACGGGTAGGATCCTACGTTGGCACAGCCTTGTAGGACACTGCCACCCCAGTTGAGCCATGGAGTCCTGCCAGAAGTGAGGCTATGCCATGTGATAGGCCGCATGAGGCTCCATGGATCAACCGGGGTAGAAGCATCCTAGGACATTGAAATTTCCTCGTGTGATGAGGTCATTCCCATCTACTTCAAAAGGAAGACACAGATTCAATTTTAAAAAATCAATTAGCCATATTTAAATTGTGCATTGAAGAAACTATAGACATCGCTGCTATAATTCAAATAGAACTAATATAATAATAATAATAATAATAATAATAATAATAATAATAATAATAATAATAACTTTATTTATATACCCCTCTATCTCCCTGAGGGGCACTCAGAGTGGTTTCCAAGTAACATCACCGAAACATACAAAGTAAACAGCATGACATCAAATTAACAAAACAACATAATTATAAAATTATCACAATAACACATGTATATTAAAAATAATCCTGCCTACTCAGAGCAATTAAAAAGCCGGGCCAAGGCTAGTGGAAAAATCAAAATATGAAGGGGCCGGGAATTAAGTACAGTGCTATAACAGGCTAACGGCAATAGCAGGTATGGGTCCGTGGCTGCTCATTTCCAGGGCCTATTTGAGGGATGACCGGGGTAATAGGTAAGAAGGCAAGGCCATATTCAACAATCTTTGGGCTGGACTAGAACTGGTCATTCTCAAAGGCTTGTTGAAACCACCCGGTCTTCAAACTCTTACGAAAGGAAGGGAGGGATGGGGCTCACCAAGGTGTTTCACCAAACGCTTGGCCTGGAAACTCACCTAGCCTGCTGACCAGATGGACAGCTTCAAAGCCTTTTGTTCTACCTTCTTATGGTTCTTCATTTAAAGACTCTTCTAGATGGGACAAATATGTTGGAAAGATTCTGTATTTGTAGCTATAGTTCTTGTGGTCGGTGGGGGGGGGGGGTTGTCTTTCAAAATATTCAAATGCAATTTTTTGTTGTTCAGGGTGTTTTCTGATCATTCTTGGCATGAGCTGCAATGTTTTACTCCAAGATATATCAAAACATCATGTTTCTTTTTATTCCCTTCCTTTCTTTTCTTTTAAAAAAGAGCATCATAATGAGAATACCTGTTTGTTACTTAAGCATAGTGGTTCCCAACCTGTAGGTCGCGGCCTAAAATAAGGTCCGCAAGACATGCATTTTTAGGCCTGTTCCTGGGGTTATTTGGGGTGCTGATTCAGAAAATTGCATTGGATAGATTACATCAGTTCTAGATTATTAAATAGGGTTTTCTGTGGGTGAGCAGATGGCGACTACTGGATGGCATAGGTTCTTTATCGGAAACTAGAGCTGATGTGGTTTATCCAGTGCAATTTTCTGAATCACCACCCCAAATAACCAAACCAAATCTAAAGTTGACCAAAAACTGGTTTGTAACCCTTTTGGTACTAATGTTGGAGAGTGGTCTCTGGTCAGAGTGGTCCTTGGTCAGAAAAAGATTGGTAACCACTGTTTTAGCAACACAAAATACATTATGTATAACTTTATTTGGTGTAAACTTAAAAAAAAATCTTTATTATTATTAAAAAAAAATCTTTATTATTATTCCAGTGTATAACAATTTATATATATATATATATATATATATATATATATATATATATATATATATATATAGAAAAAGAAGAGAAAAAAGTCTAAAAAAAATAAAAGTATATATATTTATGTATTTATCGTGTCATCAGCAACCATACCATTGTATTACATTTCTAACAGAACAAAACAAACACACAGATTTTAAAAAAACACAAATTTTGCAGACTTGGTAGTTGATTAAATGTCCTTTGACCAGTATCTGGCCACTTGGAGTGCCTTTGGTGTTGCCGCAAGAAGGCCCTCCATTGTGATATATATATATATATATATATATATATATATATATATATATATACACACACACACACACACACACACACATACAGGAGGGACCAAGTTGGCCCAGGCCTGCTTAATAGTCATATTATTTTTATGAAAATGCATTATATATAATAAAAATATATAAAAATAAAAGATATAAAATTATATATATATATATATATATATATACACACACACACACACATAACACCAAATTTGGACAGCATAGCACCTAACAACCCAATGTATGTCCTTCACTCAAAAATTGATTTTGTCCTTTGGGAGTTGTAGTTGCTGGGATTTATAGTTCACCTACAATCAAAGAGCATTCTGAACCCCACCAACGATGGAATTGAACCAAACTTGGCACACAGTTCTCCCATGACCAACAGAAAAATACTGGAAGGGTTTGGTGGGCAGTGTCCTTTGGTTTTGGAGTTGTAGTTCACCTACATCCAGAGATCACTGTGGACTCAAACAATGATGGATCTGGACCAAACTCTACAAGAATACTCAATATGCCCAAATGTGAACACTGGTGGAGTTTGGGGAAAATAGAATCCTGACATTTGGGAGTTGTAGTTGCTGGGATTTATAGTTCATCTACAATCACAGAGCATTCTGAACCCTACCAACGAAACAATTGGGCCAAACCTCCCACACAGAACCCCATGTGGGCCACAGCAATGCATGGCAGAGGACGGCTAGTATGTGTGTGTGTATATATATATATAGGAAGAAAGTGAGAAAGGTAAGAAAGGTAGGGAGGGCAGAACAAAACAGAACACAAAGAAAAAACAAAACAAAACAAACAAAAAAACCCCAAAAACCCCAAACAGCAGGAGAAATAAGAGACAAGCAAAACAAAACAAATAGTAGTTTGGCTTCCGGTCATCTTTGGTGTGGTTTATTTCTTTTCCTTTTTCTTCTATATTCCTTTTTTATACTTATCTTCTCCTTATATTAAAAATAAGTGTTATTCAGACAACAATTACACATTGAATTTTATCCCCCTTTTTGTGGGGGATAAAATTACTTCCTCCCCTTTTGTGTGTTATCGTGGCACTACAAGGTCCTGAACTATAAGGGAATTCTTTGGTTTTGCCAGTTTATTAAGAGCAGGCAAAAATAACAGAAACAGCAGAAACCACAACCATTTGTAAACAGAAGAGAAAATAGTTTTGTCTCCTCTAGTTCTCCATTGTGGCAAGCAGATATAAAGCATTCATTCCCTTAAAAAAAAGAACTGAGAAAAGAAGCCTGACACTGGTTGGTCAATCTGGGACTAATCTGGACAGAAGTGACACAACATCACTTCCTGGTGGCATTTTTAGAGTGGAGAAGCATCCAGCTATATTCCTACAGTTGGATGCACAGCAATGACATTGTCCTCCTGGGGCTCCCTGGGTTCTTTGGAGGTTCTGGCAGATGTCTGTTTCTGTGAGCTCGGCTATAGGACACCTTTCGGCTCCCTCTATCCCACTCCCCAGTGGTTGATAGATGGCAATGTGGGAGGCTCCAGTAGCTAAAGGCAGGGTGTTTAGGGGAAGGGAAACATGGAATAGTTCTACCTGTGTGAGACTTTATTACATGTCTAACAATGCTGGACATATAATAAAGTCCCTTTGGGGAAAGAAGGTGGTCTAGAAGTAAAGTATCTATATAAATAAAAATGTAATGTTCGTTTGTGGGATTAACATAACTGAAAATCCACTGGATGAATTGACACCAAATTTGGACACAAGACACCTATCAGGCCAGCAAGTGACCATCACTCATAAAAACAGTGAAAAACACAACTGAAGGGGCTTCAAAAAGCCAAAAATAAAAAAATACATTATAATGCATGTGCAAAACCACATATATATACACAAACACACACATATATCCATATATACACACAAAACACATACACAGGAGGAAGGAAAGAAGGAAGGAGAGAAGGAGGGAGAGAAGAAGAGAAAAAGAAGGATGGAAGGAGAAAAAGAAGGAAAGAAAGAAAGGTAGAGAAGGAATGGGGAGAGAAGGAAGGAAAGAAGGGTAGAGAAGGAAGGAGAGAAAGGGGGAGAAAGAGGGAAAGAAGAAGGAGAGAAGGAAAGAAAAGTAGAGAAGGAAGGAAGGAGAGGAGGGAGAGAAAGAGGGAAAGAAGAAGGGAAAGAAGGATAGAAGGAGAAAAAGAAGGAAAGAAAGAAGGGTAGAGAAGGAAGGAGAGAAAGAGGGGGAGAAAGAGGGAAAGAAGGAGAGAAGGAAAGAAAGAAAGGTAGAGAAGGAAGGAGAGGAGGGAGAGAAAGAGGAAAGAAGAAGGGAAAGGAGGGAAGGAAAGAAGGGTAGAGAAGAAGGAAGGAAGAAGGAGGAAAGAAAAGAAGGGAAAGAAGGAAGAAAGAAGGGTAGAGAAGGAAGGAAGGAGAGAAAGAGAGGGAGAAAGAGGGAAAGAAGAAAGAAGGGTAGAGAAGGAAGGAAGGAGAGAAGGAAGGAGAGAATGAAATAAGTAAAAGAGAGAAGGAAGGAGAGAAGGCATGAGAGAAAGAGGGAGGGAGGGAAGGAAGGAAAGAGGGAAGGAAGGATGGAACCAAAGAGCAAAGGAAGCGAGAAAAGAAACAGGTAGAGAAGGAAGAAAGAAGAAGGGAAAGAAAAAGAGGGAAGGAAGGAAGGAAGGGAGGAAGGAAAGAGGGAGGGAGGGAGGGAAGGAGGAGGAGGAGAGAAAGAAAGAGAGAAAGAGGGAGGGAAGTTTGGCCAAAGCAACCCGTGGCGGGTACAGCTAGTTATTATAATGTGGACTCTCGGCAATTGTTAATAAGCCCTGGCTCCCAAAAAGCAAAAAAGTTGTCTTTACAGATCTGCAGTTAAGCAAGGCTAGAATAACACTATGTAACAACATTTGAAAAAATTTATGTTCCTGGTTTGTGTTATTTTCTGTTTAATTGTGCTGCACTTACTTTGTTATAGTCCAGAAACTTCTTTGTGTGCGACTGCTACAAACTCTGTTGAATTGATTGAGACTCTGTGAGATATTCATTGAAAAACTAGAGCAAAACGTGCTGCAGGATGTCCTGCAAAAACAAAGTTTTTCCAGTTTATTAAACTTTTTTCTATGTTTTAATGATAGAATCAATTAGGAAATGACATTTCTAACCCAGGGACAAAAACTGTGTTACACAGGGTACTTTTTTCAGTGTTTCCAATTTGTACCACAGCTCCAAAATGTATGGAATGTATACATCTGTATTACTGCTTCCTGATTTTATGCAAGTCGACAAAAATGTACTAGAGTGATTAATTGTAACTTTAGCTATAGTTATTTGTGTGGGAGATGGAATGGTTACTTTTTAGGGAAAAAAACCCATGTTGTTTCAATATAACAAATTGAAATGGAGGTCTGATGTGGCTGATGTTTTTTATTTTCAGATTTCACCTCCTCCCCCCAACATTTTCTTTTAGAGACAGATTAAATGTATACTACTCAAGAAATAATGTGGCAAGAAGGCTACCGCTAGTTTAGAGGTCATAAGCAAATCCCTGAAAAGCTGAGCTCACTGGTTACACCGGGTAGGAGATTCTAGTGCAGTGTTTCTCAACCTGGGGGTCGGGACCCCTGGAGGGGTCGTGAAGGGGTGTCAGAGGGGTCACCAAAAGACCATCAGAAAACACAATATTTTCTGTTGGTCATGGGGATTCTGTGAGGGAAGTTTGGCCCAATTCAATCGTTGGTAGGGTTCAGAATGCTCTTTCATTGTAAGTGAACTATAAATCCCAAATCTCAAGTCTATTTTCCCAAAACCCCACCAGTGTCCACATTTGGGCATATGGAGTATCCGTGCCAAGTTTGTTCCAGATCCATCATTGTCTAAGCCCACAGTGCTCTCTGGATGTAGGCGAACTTCAACTCCCAAACTCAAGGTCAATGCCCACCAAACCCTTCCAGTATTTTCTCTTGGTCATGGGAATTCTGTGTGTCAACTTTGGTTCAATTCCATTGTTGGTGGGATTCAGAATGCTCTTTGTTTACAGGTTAACTATAAATCCCAGCAACTACATCTCCCAAATGGCAAAATCAATCCCCTCGCCAACCCCACCAGTGTTCAAATTTGGGTGTATTGGGTATTTGTGCCAAATTAGCTCCAGTGAGTGAAAATGCATCCTGCAGATCATTCTTTACATGGCGATTCATAATGTGAGGGTTATGGTTGGGGGTCACCACATCATGAGGAACTGTATTAAGGGGTCGCGGCATTAGGAAGGTTGAGAACCACTGCTCTAGTGTGAAAGAGTTAACTTTTTCAAGCTCTGAAAAGAATTGGTGAGCAGCACCCTTTCACTTACTGATGTAGGGCTCCACATATTAGGGATGTGCAAATCCGTTTTGGTTTTGTTTCAAATTTCCGGTGCCCTCCATTCTGTTTTCAGGAAATTTTTGGGAAATTAGGAGGGGAACCATTTGTGTTTGTAATTCAGAACCCAGAGATCTATTTTGGGAAGAATTTCCCCAAAAACAGAATGGGGGGGGGGACACAAAATGAAAACAGACCGGTTTCTGTCTTGTTTTGCACACCCCTACAATATATGTCAAGGAATAGGGAGCTCTTTCAGTTGCCTGCAAAGCATGGCAAGAATGCTTTTGGCTTGAGTCTCTGATCTGGCCTGTTTGACATGTCAATCATAACTGCCTTGAACAGGCAGGATTATTTTAAATATATGTGCTATTGTGGTTTTTAATGCTTATATTGTCTTGTTAATATTATGTTTATGCTGTTTTCTTTGTATGTATTGATGATGTTACTTGGAAACCACTCTGAGTCCCCTTGGGGAGATGGAGCGGTATATAAATAAAGTTTTGTTGCTGTTGTTGTTGATAAACATATAGTTTTAATGGGTTTACTTTGTGGCCAACCTGATCCTTGCTCTTCTCTTCTCTCCTTCTAGCATCTACATCAGCAGCTCTGGACCGTTCGGCCTCTTTCCCAACAACCGTCTCAAGCGCAGGCCAAGCCACTTTGAACAGGACATTACGGAGGGTGAGTGACTTTAGAGGAAACATTCTGATAAATGAATTGACTAAGATTTCAGAGCCCAAGCCTGACGTCTGGGGAAGGCAGACTGTAATGACTCTTACCTAGTAAGCCGGAGTAGAAGCCTGGGATAACAGTAGGCAAACCTCCATTTTGGGAGTGTAAGCCAGGGAAGCAGACATCTTGAGAGTGGAAAGTTAGAAGATGGGAGGAGCTGGAGGTCTCCTGGGATTGGCTAGAGCAGAGGAGGAGGAGCCAAGTCTTGGGACGGAAAAAGTTTCAGCTTCTAAGAGAGAAGAGGAGTTGGGATTTGGGAACTGAAGAAAGAAGAAGTACTTGAGAGACTAGGTTTTACTGAGAGAGAGCGTTTGTGACAGGCAAGGCTGCATTATTGGCCAGAAAGGTCAAGTAGCTTCCTGATTTACTTGGGGGTGATAACACAAGGGATTTGCTATCTAGGTGGAGTAAATTAGCTGTAAAGGACTCTGGTTAGAGTTGGCTAATTGCTCTGAAGACAGCCTGAGCTAGGTTAGTCTGGGACTCACTGCTATTTCGTAAAGGTAGAGTGAGGAATTTTGTTGTAACGAAGTCAAGAAACTCTTCTTAAGTAACCATCAAGATATTGTACCTTAGTAACAAGTTAAGCTTTTGTGCCTCTTAAAAGAAGAAGTCCGCTGTTTGTTTGTTCTTATAAATAAATCTTTTATCTATTCAACTTTTAAAGAAGCCTCTATTGTTATTCATTCCGGTGGGATAATTCTAGTTTCTTTAACATCCTAATATCACAGTCATTTTTTGGGAGCTAAGGGAGAGCTGGGTTGGCAGGGAAGGAAAAAGGTTACCTCAGAAACTCATTTCAAAATCCTAAGGCAGCTTGGGTGGTGGCAGCAATAAACCAAAAGAAGTCTGAAACAGTGTTCACTCAACCGGCATATACCTCTAACATCATATCGTTACCACAATATAGAACATAAGGGGGATTACCTTGTTACGTTATACTGGTGGCAAGTGGTGAGGTTCATAATAAGACAGCCCTTAATTCTTTACAGTGGTGGTAGCAACATGATTCAGAATAGTGAATAACCTCCGTGAAGATGTTATATAGACCAATGCAGTTGACAAAATATGCCATTCAAATGAAAAACACCAAGTGTGACAAATGAGAAATAAGCACAGAGACACACACACATATTTTTCTCACTCAGAGGTTACTCGGAGGACCAGAGAAAAGAGGCCAGTACCCTGAGGAACACCCTCCCTCCATCAGCTCTATACTCAACATTATCCTCTTGCCAGTGCATGCTAACTACCACTCCGTCTCTGCTTATCCATGCAGGTCATCAGCCTCAGAAGGTGGCACGCCGGGTCTTCACCAACAGCCGGGAGCGGTGGCGGCAGCAGAATGTGAACGGAGCCTTTTCTGAGCTTCGGAAACTCATCCCAACTCACCCCCCTGATAAAAAACTGAGCAAGAATGAGATTCTCCGCCTGGCCATGAAGTACATCAACTTTTTAGTTAAGCTGCTGAACGACCAAGCCCGACTGGCCGGGGGAGGGGAGCCCCCTGATGCAGAGACCCCCTGCAATGAGACCCCAAGGACTCCCTCACCACCCGCACCCATAAAGCTGGAGCAGGTGACTGTAGAGCCTGTGACTGTGCTGGAGGCAGGGGAGCCTCGGTGATGAAGAGGAGTCTGCTCAACCATGTGACTGTGCCCTTCCTCCCCTGCTTGCCTCCCTCTCCTTCTTCCCCAACACCCAAAGAGCCCCACACATGGAGACTGAACCAGCATCAAGGGGCTGGAGGAATGTTCCTTCCCCAAATGCTTTGTGCCCCCCAAAACTTGGAACAAAAGCCATTGGGGATGGGTTGAGTGATGCTATGGGTTGCCTGTGGCTTTCAGAAGTGGGGCAAAAGGTTTTGGGGTTCATTGTAGTGGTGGTGGTGGTGGTGGTGGTGGTGGGGTCCCATGAAGGGATGGAGATGAAAACAGCACACTTTCATAGGCTGCTGACTTCTCTTCATGCCTGTCCCAACCCATGAAGACTTGGGGAAGATTTGAACTCTTAAGACCCCCAAAATGGCTTAGTTCTGGAATAACTTCAAGAAAAAAAGAAAGGAGGATTGATTGAGGTATATCTGCAGAGAGGAGGTTAATGCAGGGTACCCCTCCTGCTCTTTCTCCAGTGAGAGAGATACTTTGCTATAATGGGGTGTCAGCTTGGCTGGGAAGGGGCTCTTCTAAGCTTTCTTCTTAGTGCGCTTGACTTCCCTTTATCATCATCAGTTTGGGATATGCTTTGATGGCAGACACTCTATGCAGTGGACCCCATGTAGGCATTTCTTTTGGCTCCAGGCTCAAACTTGGAAATGCCTTAAAAAAACCCCACAGTTCCCAGAATCCCCTAGCCAATTGGCCACGTTAGCTGGCAGATATTGAGTGTTGTGGTCCAAAAACACAATAAAACTGCTTCTGGAAATGGTTTACTAAACACTGATAGTTTTTCTCGAACTGGCAGAAAGACAGCCATGGTAGGGGTAATGAATGAAAAGAGTTCAATTCAGACAAAGGCTTACCTCCTCCACAGGGGGAAGCAGGGCTTTCTGGTGCTTTCTTCTTGCTATGGAGTGTGGTAACCATTCAAGGGGCGTCACCCAAGGCAAGAGGCTCCAGCGCTATGGCAGGGCACTTGAAGATTGATGGATGCCGCTGGCGCAACTGCTGTCTCATGGCCTGGCCATGGTGGTTGGGCTGTTGCTGGAAGCCTGCAGTCTTAGGAGGCTTTCCTCTTCCTGGAAACTGGAGGGCGGTTTGTGCTGAGTCACTTTCCAACACACCCTGGGGCCCCTCCAAAGCCAGATGTGCCCCACGGAGATCCAGAGGGAGGGTGGGGGTCCCAGTCTGTTTCTTATCATTGCCAAGAACGTTGCCTTCAGGGAAGGAGCTGGGAGGGAAAGACAATTATGGGAACCACAACTACCATTCACACACACACGACTCTCCAGCGTAGTTTGAAATGGGGATTGTTGCTCTTCACTTAGAATCAGAGTTGGAAGAGACCTCATGGACCATTCAGTCCAACCCCCTGCAAGGAAGCAGAAAAATTGCATTCAAATCACTCCTGAAAGATGGCCATCCAGCCTCTGTTTAAAGGAGATACCATCTGAACATGAGGAAGAACTTCCTGACTGTGAGAGCCGTTCAGCAGTGGAACTCTCTGCCCCGGAGTGTGGTGGAGGCTCCTTCTTTGGAAGCTTTTAAACAGAGGCTGGATGGCCATCTGTCAGGGGTGATTTGAATGCAATATTCCTGCTTCTTGGCAGGGGGTTGGACTGGATGGCCCATGAGGGCTCTTCCAACTCTTTGATTCTATGATTCTATGATTCTAAGGAGCCTCCACCACACTCTGGGGCAGATAGTTCCACTGCTGAACAGCTCTCTCAGTCAGGAAGTTTTTCCTCATGTTCAGATGAAATCTCCTTTCTTGTAGTTTGAAGCCATTGTTCCACATCCTAGTCTCCAGGGCAGCAGAAAACAATCTTGCTCCTTCCTCTCTATGACTTCCTCTCACATATTTATACATGGCTATCATATCTCCTCTCAGCCTTCTCTTCTTCAGGCTAAACTAGCCCAGCTCTTTAAGCCACTCCTCGTAGGGTTTGTTCTCCAGACCCTTGATCATTTTAGTCGCCCTCCTCTGGACACATTCCAGCTTGTCAATATCTCTCTTGAATTGTGGTGCCCAGAATTGGACACAATATTCCAGGTGTGGTCTAACTAAAGCAGAATAGAGGGGTAGCATTACTTTAAGCCACTCCTCGTAGGGCTTGTTCTCCAGACCCTTGATCATTTTAGTCGCCCTCCTTTGGACACTTCCCAGCTTGTCATAGAATGAACCTCTGCCCAATGAGGCATTTGCAGGAGGTCACTGTAGTGGGGTGGAGATGGATTGTGCATGAGAAGGAGTCCTAAATTTATTGATGTTAAAGCTGCTATTTATGACCCAAAGGGTTCATGTTTCATGCCAGACATTTAAAAAATGAAATCAACAAAGTGCAAGTGACAACTTCTAATGACAAACCGATGTTGGAAGACTCTTATGTTTTGTATTCTAAATCCACTTTTTACAGAACTGGGGTTGGTGATGGGAATATAAAATGTTTCTTTTCGGTTCAAAAGTTTGGGGACAGGAAAAGATGTGGCATTGGAGGGTATGTTGGGAGTATGACTGATTGGCAGACATGAAGAGCGTGTGCCCATATGTGTAAGAGAGAATGACAAAGAGTTTGACAGATTATGATCCTCAAAGAGTAGCGAGAAATGGTTCAGGAAGCAGTCTTCTGATCATCATGGCCCACGGCTTATAATGCTGGCAATGCTTTTGACTTATGGTGACGCCACGAAGTTCGTAACATTTTCTTAGTCAAGGCATACTCAGAGGTGATTTTGCCAGTTCCTTCCTCTGAAATACAGCCTATAGCACCTGGTGTTTGTTGGCAGTCTCTTATCCAAATACTGCCAATGGTAAAATATGTATGCAAAATCATGAGGACTACAGGTCTATTGAGTATTTTCAAAGGCGCCATGTTTGCCTGCAGCAGGAAGACAGCTGTAGAGAGCAGTTGCTTTCAGAAATTAACTTTTAGATGCATAAAGAAATGTTTTCTTCTAGGAATGATTCTGTTTGTGCAAAAACAGGCATCTTGACTGTAGTTTTGTTACCTACTTAAGTTGTTTCCACTCTCTCTTTAATAATTCTATCATCTTTTCGAGTGTATATCGATAGTTATTTATTGGTAAAGAAGCCTGGAGCATTTTGGTCCATGTGTTCTCTTAAGGCCTTTTTCAGAAAACATATAAAATGATAAAGAGACAACACACAGTATCACGTTGTTAAATTATACCCCTGTATCGTCCATCACCTGTACCTACTTACACAGATTCACATGTCAAGAAATTTCCGAATCAAGGAGTCACAGGGAAGAGGGAGCGAACTTGTTTTCTGCTGCCCTGGAGACTAGGACACAATGGAACAATGGCTTCAAACTACAAGAGAGGAGATTCCATCTGAACATGAGGAAGAACTTCCTGACTGTGAGAGCCGTTGAGCAGTGGAACTCTGCCCCGGAGTGTGGTGGAGGCGCCTTCTTTGGAAGCTTTTAAACAGAGGCTGGATGGCCATCTGTTGGAGGTGCTTTGAATGCAATTTTCCTGCTTCTTGGCAAAGGGTTGGACTGGATGGCCTATGACGTCTCTTCCAATTCTATGATTGGGAACTGTTTCCTGTTCAAATCAAAACAGACCTTGGGAACTGTTTCCTGTTCAAATCAAAACATCTGAGCAAACGTTGAAGCCCAAAATGTTTGGGACTTTCCTAGTAACAAATTATTTCTTATTTATTTACAGCTTTTATATTCCGCCCTTCTCAGGGGACTCAGGGTGGATTACAGTGTACACATATATGGCAAACCTTCAATGCCAGTTTTTGACATACAAACATATACAGACACACACAGAGGCTATTTAACTTTTTCTGGCCACCAGGGGAGCTGTCGCTTTCATTGTCCATCTGCGACGCTGATGAAGCACTTCCGCATTCCCCGCATGCTTCCCCACTGGAGTGCTTTGCTGGAGTCTTCTTTATGGCCTCATAAATCAGTTAATTTAGCCTCCCCACACTTTAAGGTGGTACCTTATTTTCCCACTTGACAGATGCATCTGTCTTTCAGGTTGCAAAGGTCGACAACAGGCTACACAATTGGTTGGAAACCCACTCCAACACGGTCAGAGTGATCTTAATGCAGCTGACACTCAGCCAGCTGCGCCACAATCCCGATGGCATCTTTTGAACATGTGAGACATGTTGTTTCTTTTGTGGAGTCCACTGGATCTCCTCAGTTTTTGTTTTCTGTTTAAAAGGGGATACTGTGTTGTGCTTTTCTCATCCAGATGTTCTTTCCAGGAATCTCTTAAATCCTCCATGTTTAACATCTCCATTACTCTATGTTTAACATCTAGTCCAGTGGTTCTCAACCTGGGGTCCCCAGATGTTTTTGGCCTACAACTCCCAGAAATCCCAGCCAGTTTTCCAGCTGTTAGGATTTCTGGGAGTTGAAGGCCAAAAACATCTGGGGACCCCAGGTTGAGAACCACTGATCTAGTATTAATTTACCATAGAGTCACATTGGAGGACTAAAAACATCTTAGAGGGCATTTTAATCAAATTCACAAATAATCAAATCCACAAATGCCAAATTCACAAATGGGGGGACGTGGGGATTAATGGACTGTAGAGTGGAATTCACAAGCACCACTACATATGAATCTGTGAAGCTTCTAATCTTAAATGTCAAATCCCCTCTAGGGCTGCCAGTTTTGAATGACAGTGGCTAATCAAAATGTCATGTTTGGTGGTTCAGAGCTTCCCGCCTCAGCTTCCTATGTCAGACTCTCTGCATATTATCTGGTGCACTACCACTGAGCTATGGGCTTGACAATCTCTCCTTCACATGTTGGATTAGGAAACAAATCAGAAAGGTGGGAGATGCCTTGTACTCCTCCCAAGCAATCCAATGTTGTTGGGAAAATGAAGGTGAATCTATGGTTAAAGCAGCGCCTTGAGGTAATTATACTACTGAGAAAATACCACAAGAATAAAGTACTAAAATTCTTTGTTTATGGTCAAGATCTCAGGCTTCTCTACAAGTCAAATGTCTCAGGATGTGGTCATTTCCATTGATGTGTTTATCAATATTCAAATGGCATTTCTCTTATGCCAGTGTATTTTCTTGAAATGCTCCATTACGCACCTCTCTTCAA